TTGTAACTCCCATTAATCAGGGCCCATTGATAGGGCGATTAGCGTATCCATTTGTGATTTTTAGCAGCCTATTCAATGTCACAACAGTTAACTTTTCCATGACACTCGCGGCTGATCGCGAATGCTCTGACATCAACTTATACCAAAAAAATGGATTGAGAGATGCAGGCCATAGCCTTAACTGTAACTCCTAACTTCAATTAACGGTCAACTGAGAAGAAGGATAGAAGTATCAACCAATGAGTATTAAGCGCAGTATGTCGCGAAAGGCATGCTGCCAAGCTCTAAAAATTAACACTCTTGACTACCAAACTTTTGGTAGGCCCAGGAAGGCATTTCTTATGCACAACAGCAAGGATTGAAAACCTAGATAGGAGAGGTAGGAAAAACAAGCCAAGATGTTCCTAATGCCACAAGCATCTTGGCGTAGTTACCACCTTGAGCCCCCTTCAGAAACCACATACAATATTAGAGCAGCTGTGCTGCAATACACATATACTTGAAGACTTACAATTAGTAAAAGGATGAAGCCTAAGAGTTTGAACTAATATAAAGCAGATATGCCAGTGCTGCAGGCAATACTAGTAGTACAACGCTCGCCGCAATGAACTCAGCTGCAGCCATGCAACTCTGATAGTCCCTCGTCTCCATATCTTAAAAAATACCACAAAGCGAATGACGGCGCTATCCAAATATTTAGTATTCCCATTGCCTCTCACCCACCCGACAGCGCGGCCTATATACATCATATCGCCGGTCACTAGGAGCTTTCAAGATCACTGAGTTTTTTTCACGCCTGGCGATTCCATAAGGAGACAAGATCTGATATATAAAATGCCTTTTGATTTCAGCAATCTAACACACTCCATTGATTGAAAAACAATTAATCATTTGCCTATTTTGCATTTCTTGCACTACGCCGAAGATTCTCCCTATGCAAACAGAAATATGGTGGTCTTACCTTGAGGATATATACTGCGCCGACAGTAACCTAATACAAACTGGCAAGAAAAATTCGGGATCACAACTGTAGCGATATATCAACAGCCAACCAAATAAACCTTGGCTTGGCTTCCAACTTAACAGCCCATCCTTGCGAACAGGCATGCAGGGCAGCCCTCCTTGCCGGCATTAGGTTGTCCAATGGAAACTGCATTCCCCATTGAAAATGTTGATCTTGCCTGCCGCAGTACACCCCTATAAAGAAGCATGGTATATTACAAAGAATGTGAACATGGATAAGAAGGAGCTGCCCGATTGACAAAAGCCAAGTAACTAGCTCAATACATCTAAACATCTATCGTTATGCTCACTGCTCTAATAGGACTGCTCTAGAACCCATGAAGCGCTGAACTCTGTTGCGTATGCCCGTAGAAGCAACCTCCACTCCATGCGAACTTTGCGCCATTAATCTGTTAACTAAATAGGAAAACTCTAACAATTCCACAGCCGTTAGAAGTAGGCATTGCAATAAAGACAACACATGACATGTCTCTTGCCTCAACCTGACGCCGCGTTGGCCGGGCCTTTTTTTCTCTTTGCCAGTTGTTGTGTTCGAACTAATTATACAGTCTACAAAGAGCAATTGAGCACGTTTAATTATACTAGCCAGCATTATTATAATATCATCAAGAACGAGACGCCGCTGACATGATAACAATCATACCAAGAGCCATGTCCATCTTCTTCTCAGTGAGCGCAATCGCACTTCAGTTGGTTAGTGGCTTAGCCGCTGCCACTCTGAAACCATTAGAACATTTATACAATTTAGGTTGTTGGTGAAGTACTTAAAAAAGACAATTGGCCGCCGGGGACAGCAATCACAATAATCAATCAAACACTTAAAAATGAACTCATCAACGCCAGGCAAACCGAACCGAATATTACAATAATCTAAAATAGGCCTACAAGGACGATAAACTTTATCAACGAGTTTTCTTCGTGAGTAAGAAAAGCTATAACCATGCACTAAAACTCCGCCCAAACTGAAACAAATAAAGGGGCCTAAAATTCCACAATCAGAGCTGTCATACAGCAAGCAAAACATGCCCTGAAGCGCAGCGAGATTTCACTACAATTTCATTGCCCGAGAAGCACAATTGGTGTACGGAGACCCTTTAAGCTCATAAAAAATCGAGCAAAAAACAAAACCCTGGTGGTTTTAAAACAAATAACAAAGGCGTAGAGCTCACCGGATCAAGAGAAAGAGGAGATGAGATCGCCTCGGAAAAGGTTAGTAGGGTTTGGAAGCCGGCTCGAGTAGTATTAGGCGTTTGGAAAAGGCAGCCGCTTGGCATATTTAGGTGCCTTTTTAGGGAGAAAGCCGCATACGTGAATGAATAACGCGCTTACACTTAAAGAGCAGCAATCTCCTAGCTTGGGAGCCTCTTCTTCGGAGCTGCTCCTCAAGCCATGGCCCCCATCTTAGGGACTTTTCATACTAGGAAAATATTTCTAACAAACTCCCAACTAGCGGGCGATAAATACTTATATTTAAAAAACATCCTATTCTACTTACCTCTAATCATTTGTCAGACCGACTTTCCTAAAATCACGGCATCCGCAACTCTGGAGCCGCTAATACAAACATAGGCCTCATCCTGAGATGATTGATCTTGATGGCTGGGGCGACAGACAGCATGACTAATATTAATATTAGCAACTATTAGAGAGGGCTGATGAGGGGCAGAACTGAATGATTTCAGAAATAAAAGGTTGGGGCTTAGTCTGGTGAGCTCGTTGTAGACGACTGTGGGGCCAAATATCGCATCTTCAATAAGCACTATGGATGTTGATTGCCGCCGTCAAGCTCTCAGCAACGAAAGCTACAATCAAGAATACTTTCGGCGTCCGACAGCGGAAAGGGCAAATAGAGAGCTTATTCAGCAAGCAGATCGAGAAGAGTTACAATTTGAGCGACACTTCGCGAGGCACTGGGCTGTCGAAAACGGCGCTATTCAGTGCCTTCCGATCGTTGGTGCGGCCGCTGAGAGTTACAGTCTGACGACTCTCCATATCTTATAACAAGGCAAAGACCAATAACAATCAGGGCGCTTTGTAATGTCATGAGCAGACCGATGCTTAGGCACAGTTCAACAACCTCTATCAAAACGTAAGAAAGTTTAATTCTGGGCCGTTTCTCAAATCGAGAACGCACAACAACTTGTGCGTTCTCATCAGGGCGAATGTCTAAGCTCGTGGTCAACCAGAGCTTCAAGCCGCAAACGCACACATAATCTGGCGTCTTCAATAGGTCAACTACGTGTCCCAAAGCTCTGGAGCCCAGAGTTGAGCTTACACCGCACACGGGCGCTGTGCGTCTCAAATCTCTAAGCAGAGATTTAGCTCTGCATCTGGCAAGCCTTGGACGGGGGGGCAGAGTTAAAGCGCCATAAACGCCAACTGAGGCGTTTGGACTTGTTCAAAAGACGCAAGTCGAACGTCTCAAAACCGTTATCGGCCACTTATGAGGGATTCTCCAAGCCCACAAAGGACGGAAATAGGGGTTGGTTACACTCGAGCACATCACCGCTATACAATAACGGCAACTTACTCAATCTGAGTCAAAGGGGGCGGGTGATAGGTTTGATTCAATCGGTTTCCTGAGATCTAAACGCGGCAAAGTAAGTTAAGGGCAGCTCGGTATTAAAACGACCGCAAGGTCAAGACAAATCTCGGCAGTTTGAAGTATCGGAAAGGAAGAGATCTATCGGGGAGATCAAGGAAGGCTGATCAACGATCAGCTTAATGAAATCGCCGAAGGATGCCTTCATCAAAGGTGTCATCGCACTTGGGCAAAATTAAAACTCGAACTTTTCGGTTCAAACAACTCTGTTACAGAGTTTTAAGCTCATTCTGCAGTTTCTTTAAACTCGTTAGAGTTCTTTAAATTAGCATGGGCAAACGCCAGTTAATCACATAAAACGCAGACATAACGGTTGCAAGCAAACTCATTTTTTGTTTTTTTTTTTTTTTTTTTTATGCATAAAAAGAGTTCTTAAAGTCGTTCAGGGAGTTCTTTACAACTCGCGTTAAGTAGTTCTAAAGCGGCGATAGTCATCAAGCAGGCTTCCAATTGTTCCACGTGAAGAAGGACGTCGGTCGTCAACGGCGAGAGGCAAGTTCGACGGGCGATCAATCGAAGGAGCACTCCAACGCGCTGCCAGAAAGAACCTCATGTATTAAACAAAGGGAGAATCAAATTCATTCTCCTCTCCTTTTGTAATCGGAATCGCAAATTGTATATCGAGTTTTGAGAGAATAGCAAGTCATAATTTTTCTTTGGCTTTGTCTTTTTCACATCCAAATTCCAAGCAAACAAAAGATGCGACTCCGCTGGGGAACAGGCTTCTCTGAGCAGAGGGAAAGTGGTGGCGGGGCAATCCGACGTTCAGCCTTACTGGAACACCGGTCGAAAAGCTCGTCGTAGGAAGTTCGCGCCGCAAGGCCAAGTATGAGGAGGTCTCTCCTCTGGGTCGCCTTAGCCCAAAAAGCTAGGCGTGATACCTCACAAGAAAGGACCGCCTCTATCCAGAGGTCAACACTACTGGCTGAGATGGCCAAAGAAAGCCCTCTCGCTTTGGGATCCAAAGCCTTAAAAGCATCGGCGTGCTGCGAGTTGAAGATTCGCTCCCCGTATCAACTACGGCAAATAATTGTAACTCCCATTATCAGGGCTTGATAGGGATTAGCTATCCATTGTGATTTTTAGACAGCCTACAATGTCACACAGTTAACTTTCCATGACACTCGGTCTGATCGGAATGCTCTGACCATCAACTTTATACCAAAATAAATGGATTTGAGAGATGCATGCCATAGCTTAACTGTAACTCCTAACTTCAATTTAACGTCAACTGAGAAAGAAGGCATAGAAGTATCACCAATAGTAATTAAGGAGTATGTCGCGAAGGATGTGCAAGTAAAAATTAACACTTTGATCTACCAAACTTTTGTAGGCCAGAAGATTCTGCACAAAGGAAGGATTTGAAAACCTAGATGGAGAGGTAGAAAAACAAGCCAAGACTGTTCCTTAATGCAAAGAATCTTGGGTAGTACCACCTTGATGCCCTTCAGAAACCACATACAATATAGAGCAGCTTGTGCATACACATATACTTATGAAGCTTTAATTAGTAAAAGATGAACCTAAGAAGTTTTGAATAATATAAAAGCAGATATCCAGTAGTGCAGGCAACAGTAGTACAAGGTTGGCTGCATGAACTAGTGCAGCCTGCAACTCTGATTCCCTCGTCTCCATATCTTAAAAATATCCACAAAGCATGACGGGTATCCAAATATTAGTATTCCATTGCCTCTCACCACCCGACAGCGGTATACCATCATATTCGGGTCACTAGGAGTTCAAGATACTGATTTTTTTCACGCTGGATTCCATAAGGAGACAAATCTCATATATAAAATGCCTTTTGATTCAGCACATCTAACACCTCCATTGATTGAAAAAAATTAATCATTTGTATTTTGATTTCTTGCATACGGAAGATTTCCCATCAAACAGAAATATGCAGTGGTTTACCTGTGGATATATATGTGCATCAGTAACCTAATACAAACTAGGCAAGAAAAAATTATCACAATGTAAGGATATATCAACAGCAACCAAATAAACCTTGGCTTGTTCCAATTAACAGCCATCTTGCGAACAGGCATGAGGGCAGCCCTCCTTGCGGCATTAGTTGTCAATGGAAACTGATTCCCATGAAAATTTGATCTTGCCTGCGCAAGTACACCCTATAAAGAAAGCATGGTTATTACAAAGAATCTGAACATGATAAGAAGGAGTGCGATGACAAAAGAGTAACTAGTCAATACATTAACATCTATACGTTATGTCACCTGTCTAATAGATGCTCTAGAACCCATGAAGCGCTGAACTCTGTTGGTATGCCGAGAAGCAACTCCATCCATGAATCTTTGGCCATTAATCTGTTAATAAATAGGAAAACTCTAACAATTCCACAGCGTAGAAGTATGCATTGCAATAAAGACAACAATGACATGTCTCTGCTCACCTGACGCCTTGGGGCTTTTTTCTCTTTGGCAGTTGTTGTGTTCGACATCTTAATTATATCATCTACAAAGAGAATTGAGACGTTTAATTATATAGCCAGCATTATTAAATATATCAAGAACGAACGCGCTGATGATAACAATCATACCAAGAGCCATGTCCATCTTCTTCTCAGTGAGCGCAATCGCTTCAGTTGTTAGTGGCTTAGCTGCCATCTGAAAACCATTAAACATTATACAATTAGGTGTGGTGAATATTAAAAAGACAATTGGGCAGCAATCAAATAATCAATCAAACATTAAAAAATGAACTCATCAACGCGAAAACGAACCGAATTTACAATTAAAATAGCCTACAAGGACATAAACTTTATCAACGAGTTTTCTTGTGAGTAAAAAAGTTAACCATGCATAAAACTCCGCAAAATTGAACAAATAAAGCCTAAAATTCCACAATCAGAGTGTCAATACGAAGCAAAACATGCTGAAGGAGCGAGATTTCATAAATTTCATGGAGAAGACAATTGTGTACGGACCCTTAAGCTCATAAAAAATCAGAAAAAAACAAAACCCTGGAGTTTTAAAACCAAATAACAAAGGCGTAGAGCTCACCGGATCAAGAGAAAGAGGAGATGAGATCCTCGAAAAAGGTTAGGGTTTTGGAAGGGGAGTAATTAGGGTTTGAAAAGGCAGCGCCTTGGATATTTAGGTTTTTAGGAGAAAGCGATAGTGAATGAATAAGGTTACACTAAAGAGCAGCAATCTCCTAGTTGGGAGCTCTTCTTGGAGTGCTCTCAAGCATGGCCCCCACTTAGGATTTTCATACTAGGAAAAATATTCTAACAAACTCCCAACTAGGAGCATAAATATTATTTAAAAAATCTATTCTTCTACCTCTAACATTTTATAAATATTTTTTAAAACAACAAATCTAATAAAAAAATATTTTTTAGTGGGCCCCCACCCCTTAGGAGCTCCCAAGTGCTCCACAAATTTGTGGAGCTCTTAGAGCATCTCCAACAGCTTCTCCAAAATTTTCTCCAAAATAGGGAAGCAAAAGCCATATTCTCCAACTAATTTTTACATCAACTCCAACAGCTTCTCCATTTTGAAGAATCCATTTTTTCCTCCAAAAATTTGGAGAATGCTGCAGATTTGGGGAAATTTCCCCATTTTTTCTCCTCCATCCCTATTTTGGGGAATGAGATGGGGAATCTGTTGGATCAAAACCTAACTAAATTCTCCAAAAGTGAAAAATATGGAAGCTGTTGGAGATGCTCTTAGGAGCTCCATGGTGGGCCTCACCGCCAACTAGGACTTGAGAGCTTCCTTGGGAGCTTGTTGGAAGGTCTTGAGAGCTTTTTCTTGCCACATAGGACTTAGGAGCATTCTTGGAAGGCTGCTGCACTTGCTCTAAGCCCGCGGTGCTGCAAACCGCGTAGCCGTACTCCACTCTACGCGCAAAGTAGGTAGAGCGCGTTAGGAGGAAATATTCATAGAAGTCCCTTGATTTTAAGCGCACAATATTTGGGAATTTTACTTTTTTAGCCAATTTATGTTGGCTAAACTGCACTTAAATGCCCTCAATTTGTAACTAATCCCACTTAAATATCGTAAAGTTTCTGAAAGTTTTAGTCTCGTGTCCCTTGTTATTAGATATCCTTGAATAGATAAGGAAAAATTAATGTCACCTAGATTTTTTTTTCAACTGTGGGGCATTCACCTGCAACACTAAAATATTTTGAAGCATTTTTTTTTCTCGGTTCTAAATATGGTGTTGATAAAACTTTAGAACATTTAAGTGCAATTTAGCCTTTAAAATCGGTTAGAGTTATTAAAAGGGATAAAATCTAGGTAGAAACCGGTTTGCTTTAGAACAATTTTAATTTAGAACAATATTACCCATTTCCAAAAAACTTTAGAACATTTAAGGGTCACTTAAACCGGTTTGCTTTTCCTTTCAAGTTTCCCCATCCTATTTACAGTATGAACCTTTTTTTTATTGAAAATTCTTCCCAGGTAGAAACTAATTTTTTTTTCATAAGATGCTTCTCTTTGTTTTTCCTTTCTTATTTGAAATTTATTTTATTTATTAAATTTTCAATAGCAATAGGTGATTAATTAAGTTCCCCAGAGCAATCAACTTCATGAACAAAAGAAATGTGAAAGGTCTGGTAATTTTTTTAATTTACTTATTCACATAATTATTTTCATACAAACATTGAAATTATTTCATTGTGAATGGTATTATGAAGTATCTTTTTTCGGATGGTAACTTGTGATTTATCCTTGGTTTAAAATTATTTCATATGCTTTTTATGATCTAGCTGCTCTTTACCTTTCTCTCAACTGGCAAAGAACTCAACTGCCAAAGTAGTGATTAGAGAGAAGGCGACCAATACCACAAGCTGAGACTCTTTCACTTGTGACTGCTAAATTAGAAATATCGAACTATATATTCAATTTCTACATTTACATTTTACAGGGGAAAAAATTTCAAAAAGATGGGTCAATACAATCTATTAAGGATGATCTAGGATTTATCTGTAGCGTATATTATTTACCAAGGTACTAGTGAAAAATAATCATGTAACAAAACGTTTAGCCCTGAATAATTCTGACGGATAGAAACAACCTAATTTACAGAATTCCTTAGGAGAACGAGCAGCCAAACTTAGTAAAATTTTTAACACTAAATAACATTAATTATTTTTCAAAATATCCAAAAACTTTGTGTAAAATAGAATATTTAAATAAATTAAATTATTAAAATCTACATACACATACTGTAGCGGATTTTAGCCAACTCGCGAGGCATGAATCAGATCATAACGCACGGATGGTGAAACATGCCACATAGAGATCAATCAAGTAATAAAATGAATAGCTTGAGCACTAACAAAGGAAAACATTTGGTTTTTGAAACAGCGCCATCCCTATATTAAACAAACAATCTTTCAATTAATCATCAATTCCCTTATTAATAAGACAGTAAGAAAATTATCAATGAGCGTATAATGAAAATAATTTGTTAAAATACCTGCCAGTCTTCTTCATCATCTCGAAGCTCAGATCACTTTTCCCTATTTCTAACAATGGAGGAGCATGAGCGAAGAAAGGTTAATTGAATACTAGCAGTTTTCACAATTAACACGGAAGAAAAACATGAAGCATAGTGTAGGCTGTCTAAAAATCACAATAGATAGCTGATTCTCCATCAAACGCCGATGATGGAGGTTACAATCTGACGACTTCCAGAAGCCTTCACAATCAATATCGGGAGTTACAATCTGACGACTCTCGTATTTTCAAGGGGCCAAGATGAAGATTACAAGATAGTAGTCTTTGCAATGCTCTGCAGAAGAAACTATAACTCATTGGCTCTTTCTAAAACGCGGAATTTATCTTCGCGTTTTAATTCCTGAAACGCAGGCGACCCCCGCGTTTCCAAGCTTTAACAAGCAAAACACGAGCGACCCTCGCGTTTCCAACCTTCAGCAAACGAAGCGCAGGCGACCCTCGCGTTTCCAACCTTCGGACTCCAAAACGCGAGCGGCCCTTGCGTTTTTCAACACCCAGCGAGTACCCAACTCCGCGTTTCCATTCTAAAACGCGGAGTTAGGGTCCTGAATTTTTCAACACCCAGCGAGTACCCAACTCCGCGTTTCCATTCTAAAACGCGGAGTTAGGGTCCTGAACGTCAACGTGGGCGTTTGACTCGTTCAAACACGAGCTGAACGGTTGCAGGAACTGTTTTCCCTCCACGATTTGAGGGATTTCCGCCCCACTTAGGAGCGGATTAAGGGGACGGTTACACCCTATTAACCCCATTATGGAGAGAATTAAGGGGGACGGTTACACCCCTTAATTCCCTATAAATATGGGTAAACTCAATTGAGTTCGAGCTGGCTTTTTGGATCTGAGACTTAGCAGCGAGGAGAAGATCTTTGGCTTCTTCTTGGGGATCTTCGATTTGGAGATTTTTTGAAGATCAAAACTGTACAAAAGAGAGATCAACATTCATCTTTTGGGAGCAGTCCTGAGAGCTTTCGACATTGACGGATTAACCGACTTTCGGTTCAAATCAACTCTTTCATAGAGTTTCAAACTCGTTCAGAGTTATCAACTCATCAAGAGTTTTAAACTTGTCACGCAAGTTCTCCACAGCGTCGAATCGTGAGGAGAAGATATCGTTCTAGTGAATCAAGACGTTCGAATCGTCAACGGAGAGCAAATTCGACGCGAGCATTCGAAGGAGGCACTCCATCGTCACCGTGAAGAACCCAGAATTAAACAAAGAGGAGAATCAAGATCATTCTCCTTTCTTTTGTAATCGGAATCTAATTGTAATTGAGATTAAAGGAATACAAATCAAAATTTTCCTTCGTTTCTTTTACTCCAAATTTTTCCACAAACACACAGTAGTCGCATAACTAACAAAACTGTCAAAATTATATTTGAGATTTTGCTTATTCTGGACACAAGTTACATGCTCCTCTTTACATTCTTAAGAAAACCATCGAAAAAAGGAAAAAAAGTTTTATTCAGGGAACACAGCTTATTTAACTGCAGGCATGTCTGAGCTCGACAACTCTTATCCGATATTAATAGAAAATTGTGGATCAACAAGAACGCTCCAGTGGGCGATTAACACTCCATCAAGGGGGAAATTAACACTGGATTATTTTAGTTGACGCCGTAGATCCATTTCTCAGCATTGCTGGTATAAGAGACCAAGTCAGTAGGCTCGAACCATAAGGAAATTTCATCCTTGGCGGTTTCAGGCCCATCGCTTCCGTGAATGATGTTTCTGCATTAGAAACAAAGAAACGATTATGAAAACCTTCAACTAGAATCGTAAACAATGTTCCTTTTAAAGGACTTTCAAACAAATAAAGAAGGTACTCAGTAGTTTTTGTTGCTGGTTTTGGAGAGGCTATTTTTGGGTGGACTAACTATTTTAAAAAGAGGAGAACTTTAGACGAGGAATGCTAGAACTTGTATGAAGAAAAGACATTATTATGAGTGAGTAGTTGTTTCTACAATATAACTTATGGCCCAGTTTGGCAAAGGGTTAAGGAAGAGGGGTTAAAGGGTTAAAAAGAAGTATTAATATACTTAGCTCATTTAATAATCTGAAGAACTAAATTATTAACCTGTTAAATAAGTTTTATTTTAGTCATTGTAATCAGTTTTAGTGTTTGAGAATAACAATTTTGACTATTTTCTTTATAATTAGAAGGGTTATCTCTTAATCATTCTAAATAGGAGTACTAGTAAACCCCTCATTTTGAGGGGTTAACTCATTTTAATCACTCTAGAGGGGTTAGCTTAACCCTTCTATATTTTTTATGTTTGGCAAATTATGAAGGGTTAACTCACTTTAACCCTTGTATAAATTTTGTGTTTGGCGGGTTAAGAAAGGGTTAAGTCTCCTTAACCCCTCACTTAACCCTTTGTCAAACGGTACCTACGGGTTCTACAAGGACACCCTAAGTGATACTTAATAGGCCATGAAGTTTTTTAATGTTTATCCAGTTCCACACATTTCTATACTTCTGCAAAAAGTTCATGAGAAATCTTGGACTCTTCTACAAACTATTCTAGAAACATTCTATAGACTCTTCTAGACTCAAAGAATCACCATATCACTTAGGAATCTCTAAAATATTCTAGAATTAAAGACCTCTAATTTTTTTCTAGACTTATGCCAAGCTTTTCCTTGTGCTTCTCGAACACTTTCCCCTTTAATGCCTTAGTGAAGATATCTGCAATTTGATCTTCTGAGTTACATTATACGGTATCTACCATAGTTTTCTTAAGGAAAAAAGAGAGACAATCTCTATCCTTTTAGCAGGCTCTCTTTTTTGCTAAAAAAGAGAGCCAAGTTCTCCCATTGGCTCTCTTTTTAGCCAAAAAGAGAGAGCCTCTCTTTTTAGCAAAAAAGATGGCTAAAGTAAAACATGTTGCCAACAGCCCAGACTAGGCCCAAAGCCAGATTGGGCCAAATTTGGCTTATCATTTATGTTTTGTAAAAAGAAACAAATAATTAAATTTGAGTCGGGTCGGGCTGGACCGGGTCAATGGTGAGTCAGGCCTATTTCTCTAATTTTGGGTTTAGGGCTAGGCCCGGCCCAGCTCGTGACCCGAGTATATCACGGGCCGGGTCGGGCTCAACCCACTCCAGGTTGGGTCGGGTCGGGTCATGACCCATGACGAGCTGGGTCGAGTCAGCCCGCAGGTTGACCCGACCCACGCCCAAACCTAATTATACCAACTTCACAATCTTCTTTGCAACCTGTACTCGGAGATAGTGGTATCTTATCTCAATGTGCTGACTCTTTCCATACGCCACTGGATTCTTGCAAGTTCTATTGTTGGCTTGTTGTCGACATACAATATTACAAGTCTTTAGTTCTAAAATATTTTAGAGAACTTAAGTGTCATGATAGTTGTTTGGAGTCTAGAAGAGTCTATAAGATGTTTCCAAAACAGTTTCTAGAAGAGTCTAAGATCTGTCATGAAGTTCTTTATAGAAGTGTAGAAAAGTGTAAATTGAACGATTGTAGAAGAACCTCATGCCTATAAATACCCCTCTTGAGATGGGCCTCGTAGAACCCACAAGTTATAGAGAATAAAATTGTAGAAACAACTCCTCTCTAATACGAAGTCTTTTCTTCATACAAGTTACTAACTCTCCTCTAAAATTTCACCCTCTCTACAAAATAGTTGGTCCATCCTAGCCTCTCCAATCTTCCTATTTTCCTTCCTATTTTCCTTCCTTTTTTCCTTCTGTCACGTTTTTTTTAACCGCCCATATAACTAGAGAATGCCTTTTATATCTTGTTTCATTTATATTATCTGTTTACTTCTATTAGCCTTTTGAAATTCAGCATACAGAAAATTGATAACTGTTAGGGTTCATGAAAAGAGCTAAAAACAGAGCAAGGTCCGTTGGGAAAAGGAAATTACATGCACCCAAGATTTTCTGCATGCGTCGACAGTGAAGGAGGAGGATTAGCCAAGTGACTCAATCAGTGTTTTCAATGCGCGAGGCGCAATGCGAGGCGCAAAGCATCTTTACGCGCACATGCGCAAGGCGTAACGCGATGCGCGCGCTCGAGTGATGCGAGGCGCACACCACACACTGACACACATAATATTTCAATATATGTAATCAAGCGCGAAAGAACATATTTTTAGAATTTACATAAAAAATATCATGATAAATAATATCTTGCTACAAAATCACAATATATTGCCTTAATTTCTAATGCTAACACCCAACATAGTAATAAATTTCATAAATTTTCAAATCAAATGTTAAATCAAGACTTGTATCCAAACTAAGGATTAGTAATGGTCCTTAATTGAAGGTTATTAAAAAAGCCCAATGGATTTATTTTGTTTTTTGGGATATGGAATATCAAGTATAAAGACTCGATTGAAATGTTAACAAAAAAAACTATATGAGGAAATGCACTACATGCATCCTACACAAAATACGGATGTACGCGAGACGCAAAAGGTGCTGCTGCATCAGATATGGGGTGCATCGCCACCGCCCCGCATCGTAAGGCGCATGAGGCGCAATGAGGCGCGCGCATTTGAAAACACTGGACTCAATATAATAGATGAAGGCAAGAGAATCATGGTCAATAGCTATACTGACTGGTTGAGACATTCCATGAATGTAAAAGCCACTCGTACTAATGCTGATACATTCAATAGTTTGACCACCTTGTTTCTTCAAGTAATAAATTACAAATTTTTAATGCACCACTCAATAACTCTGTTTTTCAAGTGTCATGTTATTACAAAGTCGTTCATGAGAGCACAAACCATAAAGGTGAAGGAACCAATGCATGCAAGAGAACCTACTCAACTAATATGGTATATTTATTTACATACTTAATTTGGGAGATCACATTAAAATTAATTTAAAAACATACCACATTATATCTAAATATAACAATAAACATGTGTGATGTATACCAAAAATGCCACTAGTTGCTCTTGCAATGGTCGAAGAAACAACTGTTGCTCCTAAACAGCATGATGACTACGATAGTCAAAATCTCAAGATCAACCACGCATGACATGTAAATATCCAAGATACTTTTCCAAGTCACATCATCTTCAACAATTAAAATTGCGGAGGATCTTTAATAATCCGTAGGATTGGATAACTATGCTTGGTTTAGCCACTGTCAAACTAATAACGCAATGGTTTACATGGGTCTAAAAATTTTTAAGCAGTGATTCCGATTATGGACCTGCACGCTGACATCATATCAGGGTTCCGGTTGACTACAACATAAAGTGGTTGAATCATCATTTGAGCTATTTGTTTGTGGTTATGGTCAATATTGGAATCCTTCTAATCCATAGCAAAGACAAACATGAACATAAGAACCAATTAACTATGTGTAGTACCTTCCAACAACAACAGCTAGGTCTCCACGAATAGTTCCAGGCTCAGATTTCTGGGGATCAGTGGCACCAATAAGTTTTCGACCGTATTTTATAACACCTTCCCCTTCCCACACCTATAAAAGAAATCAGAAATAAAAATTATTGCTCGTATAACAACAATCATTGTCAACCATTACTTTCCAGTAATTTGTTTTCTTTACCATAGCAAGCACAGGACCAGAGCTCAGAAAGTCACAAAGGCCGTTAAAGAAAGGCCTTTCCTTGAGATCATGGTAGTGTTTCTGAGCAAATTCCTTGGAAGGAACTACCAATTTAATGGCAACAAGTTTGTAACCTTTGCGTTCGAAACGAGAGACTATCTCAGCAATCTGAAAAGCCAAATGTCAATGTAACATATACAAAATTAAAACAAATGAAAGTAGCAGAAGGCTTAAAATGCTACAGAAACAAGCAAACAACTATCACAAACAAGAAATGCATTGAACATATTCGTCTCTAAAAATTAATGGTGTTATTAACTAGCGAATATCCAGGTCTGGCAAGAAAACAGAGCAAAACTGTTCCTTGAGGCTTGGAAGGCACCTTTTTTTTTTGTGGGAGACAACCACATAGCAGTGTTCTCATCTTTACTCTTCTTCTTGGGAATCTTGTAAGGCTGATACTTACCCATCTAAGGTTGCTTTGTCTGAAGTAATAACTGGATTTCTATGATTTATTGCAAGTCCCAGGAATTAAATACCAACTTAGGATGGCATCAACTAATCATGTTGACAGCTAGTTTTATATACTTTCCGAAAAATTCAAGTAGCATCGTGCTTGTAACAACAGAATTTTCACATGGAAAGGTTTACTTGATGAAGATTGATGACCTTAAGTAAAAATTATTCGATTAGAGAACACCCAAAAAAAAGTTAGATTCAAAACCTTAACTAAAAGTTAAAGTTTAGCCGCTTAATTCAATGGGACCAATCCGGTGCTTCAACATTATGATGAAATAGTAAGGAAAATCTTACCAGTCCTCTTTGAACTCCATCTGGCTTTATTGCAATAAAAGTGCGTTCTAGCTGAAATAGGGTGAAAACATAGAAAGTTATGTCATGTATTTCCCTTTAAAGATATGCAAAAAATTACATATTAAATTACTATTATACCTCTGCTGCATGTGCCTCCTGGTCTTGAAGCATGTAAGCTAGCCAAAAAAAAAAGAGTGCATCAACTTAAAAATAAAGGGGGCAAAGTGGAAATGACAAAGAAAAATATAGTCTTAAAACTGTCACACAAATAATAGGGAAATCTTGACATTTCAAAATTTTCAAATTCAGGAAAAAATTACAGAAACTATTATTTGAATTACAGAATTACTTTACAGAAAAATGTCAATATGACAGTATGCATGATATTCAAGCTACAAATCCTCTGCCAGATCAAACTTGGAAGGAAAAAAATCAAATTTAATTTACATATACTGAATAAAGCAATTATAATAAGAAACTGAATCAAATATTAATCATCTTCTGCAGTGAAATATTGACTGACAAGAAAGGAAATACAAAAAGGTTAATATGAAGATTGTCTTCTATCCATGAAAAGATCAGCCAAACATATCAAAAAGATTTGCAAAGAAGTTTGCGTACAAGAATTAAACAAATCAGTAGAGTTAGTAAATCAGAAAATAATGCAAGAGACAATAAGTATAATTACTGTAGTCTTCCTAAGGATTGAATAAATAGAACAGTCTCACTTAAGCTTTCTTATCCGTTAATAAAGCATCCACTAAAACGATACAGAAAAACAAAGCACAGATGAAATGATTGAATACAGAAAGGATCAGATCAAAGAAGTTATCAGTGTAGAGAACATATGGCACTGACAACATAGATATTGGGATCTTAAGCCAAAATATTAGGAGAAGTCTAGGCCAGCGCTTGTACTCAGAGCACGGTCACGCCTTTTCTTTACACCCATCGTCATGCATAAGCATGAACCATTACTGTCGAAGAGGTTGCGAAAGCCACAATGCTACAACTTGAGCAAGAGCGAGGGCCCTCTTCTTTTTCCCAGAGTTCTATCTAGTCACCACCAGAATAATTTTCTACTCAAACCTTTTACTTTCGAGCATCATATCATTTCTTTTGAACATAATGCGCCCAAGCAAATAACCATAGTGGCAAATTCAGATCGAATCGATAACTTTTGAATAAAGTTAGATTCTAAGACGAGTATCAGGAAACATCAACACAATTAATTTGGTGGAAAATGCTAAATGGTAGCAAGAGAAGTTAGGAATACAAGAACTAACTATTTAGAAGATAGTTTACATTCAATGCCTTATGAATCTGAAAGTAGACATTTTCATGGAACACAAACCGAGGGATAGAGACCACAAATCAATCAGACACGAATAACATCTTTGTAGAAAAACAACACCCAGAGTTCTAGCCTCTAGACATGTAAATTGAATATTTACAAACTTGCAGCAGAGACAAAGCACCAGCAATCCATCCCTGCGAGGCACTCTTGCTGTTAGCTTTCTCGTAGAATGAAGATAAAGATGAAAACTTTCCTCTGAATGCAGTTGTTGCTGCTGCTGCAACAGCTCGTCCTTCTGTTTAAGATAAAAACAATAGCTACTCAACAAGCAGGCCATAGGATTTTTTTTCTACATACAACACTAACACCGACATGATTATATGGTTGGATGTATATACTGCAGAAATCAGGATAAAAAATCCATAATTCATCTCTGAAAAAGGTCATGAAACTACAGGACATAGATACATTTGTTTTCAAGCGAATTAAGTACAGACATGCTAAGTTTCCATCAAACATAACATAATAAATAAACATAATAAACGATGGTTGTAGCAAATTCTCACAAGAATCAATATAGATTTAGTTTCACTTTTGGAGTACCAAAAAGGCAATGTATCCTAAGTTGCTGTCATCATAATGTCTATGCACCTTCTGCTGAAATGATGCAATATGTATAACAAGTCACAAAATCTAGCGGTAAGAAGAGTGGCAGAGCCAGGATTTTGTCCCAGTGGTGTCTTCAAATAATTTATCATAGTTGTATTTGGACTCTACATTGGCAATTTCACAACTTTAGCTCTTTCAGTGGCGTCCTGCTAATTCTAGTGGTGTCCACGATGATAAATACAAGTAAAAATAGATAAAAACATGTATGAAGTAGACAATCACTGGGCACTATGTGGCTCCGCTACTGGATAAGACTGGATACTACTAGAAATGGACCAAGCTGAGGCTGTACCAAACTGCATAAATGATTGGAACTTGGAAGTTAAAACTAACTTGGAAAATAATGAAATTCTACTCGTTTCCAGAAAACACTCCGTTTACAAATCTTCTATCAGCTACATCATGTCGGGTAGTAACCAAGAACTTCTAGAACTGTAAAATGTGGCGGACGACAATGATGATGGTCTTCTATCAGTAATTCGCTAACTTCAATACAAAAGCATCCCCTTTTTCCATAAATTAATCATTTCAACGAATTCGAAAAAAAAATAACAGCTTGATCATTCCTGTTTGCTTAAATAATCCGAGGAAAACATCACATGGGACCCCAGACACGCATCTATATACTTGTAACTAACGAGGCTAAAATTCAGCACTTTCTCCTCGCATAAGATTAATTTGTAATCAAATTCCAACGCATTTCCCTGCCTAGAAAAAAATTCAAAATCTCGAAGCAAAAAAAAATGAAGCGATAAAAATTTCAAATTTGCATCAACAGCTCACCGAAGAAGAAAGGCGAGGCCCTGGAAGCCGAGAGAGCAGACCTCGCGGCCCTAGACGCGGATCGATAGATCAGAGAGCTCATCTTTCTCTGCGATCAGTGAGATTAGGGTTAGGGTTAGGGTTTGGTTTGGAGCTTTGAATCTGAGAGAGAGAGGCTTTTGAAGAGGCCAGGGTTAGGGTTTCGTGGATCTGATACCTCGCGTTAGAGCTACGAGCGTCAATGTGCCCAGTGTTACAGATTGCCCCCTCCGATTCTTTCGGATCTACAGGAGACGGATTCAGGGGGGGTTAGGAAGCTGAGGGGGTATTTTTGTCATTGCTGCCTATAAATAGACGCTTCGTCAGACAATACTGTGATGTGGGTCCCGCTCAGGGGGGCTGGGTCCCAGCATGCATGGGGTTTGTTTTTGGGTACCCCGAAGATTTGGATGGAGGACAATTTCTGTTTTCAATATTCTGGGTCCCAGCTTGAATAGGGTTGCGTTTTGGGTGCTTCGAAGATTTGGATGTACGAACAGTTTCTATTTTTTAATCCTCTCGAAGATGGATGGGAACATGCAGGTTATGTTATTGACCCCATATTTTCTTTGACCGGGTTATTAATTTCTAGAACGGCCAAAAAAAGAAACTTTTTTTAAATTGAAATGACAACTGAAATTTTATTAAGCTAAGCGGACAATACAATGAATAAAAGATTCAATATGCAGAGGAAAAGTACCCTCTCAAAATGATCACACTTAGGGGCTTTTGGTTCGCTATTATAAGGGGTGGAAAACTCAGAAAACCCCTCCACGTCAGATTTTTAGCCCTTCACGTCAGTTTTTTTTTGTTTCCGTCCATTTCTTTGTGCCGCTTTGGTTCGCTCGGATGGAAGAGAGAAAACTCTGCTGAAATCGCCGTCAACTAATATTTTTTCCCTCTCCGATTTCCTTCCCCAACCAAGTGAAATTAATAAAAATTCTGTCACGTCAGATTTTTTCCCTTCTCTGCTTTGTTTACAAAAGTTTTTCTTTTTTTTCTATGCGAACCAAACACAAGAAAAATAAATACATTGTTTTCCCACCATTTTTTATGTGCGAACCAAAGCAAAACAATCTATTTCTTAGAAAAGTTTGGAAAACTCAAAACTTGTGTTTCTTTACATGGAATTGCATTTCTCTATATCAAGGAAACGAACCAAACAACCCCTTAGACAACAATGTTAACTTCACTAAAATATGAGCAACTTCATTAAGTATGATATGCAAATTATGTATTATATGC